TATATGTACTATTGTGACGTTGACCAAAGAGGACAATGCACTTTTAAGGTTTGTGATTCAACTGGTTTATCTTATTCAAGCTTAAGGTCTGGGGGGGGGGCAAGATGTATGTCTACCTTATAATTACTTGGTGTCTTCCTTTTACCCAGGGGCCACTTCTGGATACAACAAGAACACATTTACAGAGGGCTCTGGGGGATGACAATGTATTGTGTGTCAAATTTGCTTCAGAAAATGAATGTTGTGCTAAGATAGTTGCAGATGAAGGAATACTTGTGGGCGTGAGGCGCTACCGTTTTTTTGGTAACCTAATAAAAATATTCATTGGATTAAGCAATCTTTCATATGCCGCTCGAGTTTTTGTTTGTTATTTACCGAGTAAAATTCCCCAGACCCTACTGTTGTGGGATTCACCTGGGTTGTTGTTGTTGTTGTATTTACCGAGTAAAATTACTAAACGACACATTCCTTTCATATACTGCCCAAAACATCAACCATGCCTTCCATAAAAGGGTATGAGAAGATAAATCTGAGATGGGCAAAAAAGGAAATTGGGGACAAATGGAGTATTGGTTTATCCTGTTTTGGGTTTGCAGTATATAAAGAAGACAAGGAGAAGAGGAAGAAGAGCCTAGAAGAAACAAAGAAAACACCAGCTTGTTTAAAATGCTACTTTGTTCGGTTTGATTCAATTGGACCACACAATGATATGTCATATACATTTTCCACAAAAAAGATCAATGAAGCAAGGTCACATTTCATGCATGTACACACAACTGCTAGTATGTCAAAGTACATAGCCAGGTTGTTTCTAAAAACACTTCCTTTTAAAAGAGATATACATTTCATTTGTCTCAATAAAATAGTGTCTGAACTTCATTTTGTGTGCAGGTTTTCGTTGATTCTCTCTAAGACAATAAAATTTCCAGTTAATCTTGCTGAGGTGAATGTTCAAGATATTGAAGATATACTGTGCCGTGTAATATGCTTATTTCTCTTTCAATTCATATCTTGTCGTCTTGTTTGTAGTATCAGTTGCATGCTGTCTTTCCCTTTTTCCATATTAAAGGTAATACTTTCTCTTCAAAGACTTTCCATACTAATTTTGTAGGATGAAAATGGTCATGTTGTCCTTGATGAAGATGGAGAACCCCGCATACACACAGATGGAACTGGATTTATTTCTGAAGATTTAGCCCTGAGATGTCCCAAAGAATTTTGCAGCGCAAGATTGATTAGGGACGGAAATTTTGAGGTAAAGACAGTTATAATTTCTTTTCTTCCTTCAAGGTTTTCTTCAATGTATTCTTGTACTAGAGCTGCTTACTTTTGTCTTGTAATAAAATAACTTGCAGCAATTTCATGATTTTACTGAGCTCGATGACAGAAATTTGCAAGGAACAAGTTCTTGGAATAGAGAAGCGGTAAATGCTGATATTATGAGCTTTTGTTTCCAACATTTTCTACCTTTCTCCACTTACTAGTGGGTAATAATGCACTAAACGTGCTGTTGAATAAATGCGCAGCTAAATAGAAAAGTAAATATAATTTGAAATCATATATGTGTCAATGTTAGTATACAATACATATATACTTCTAGAATACGTAATGACTTAAATTAGAAGAAAAACCAAAATGAATCAGGATAAAATTGGCAAGAACATGAAAATCTTCAAGGAAGTAAGGGTCCATTTGGAAAGGAAGAAAATGAGTTATGGAAAATGACTTATGGAAAATGAATCAGTTTCCAGAAGTCATTTTCTTCTCATTTTGTTTTCTCTGTGTTTGGCTACCGAAAATAGGTTTGAAACCTAAACGAAAATTGGGCTACGAAGAAAGAACGACAAAGCCAGTTTGGGGAGGAAAATCAAGAAACTTGCCTCATCTCCCACTTGCAAAGGTGGAGGTGTGGATAATGAGCTATTTGCCTTTGGAATTAGCAAGAAAACCAAGAAAAATTGAGTTTGCAGTGCCACATGTGTGGCGGCAACGGCGGCGTCTGTGCGGCGGCATCTGGGCGATGGTTAAGGTGCAGCTGCAACCACGCAAATGGCCAAAGGCGATGTGGCGGCGAAGCTATTTCATTGTGCGATGGAGGAAACTGAATGCCAGAAAATGACTTCTGTGAAAAAAAATCCGGAAGTCAAATTCCATAATTTAGGCCTCATTTTCCAGTTGACCCTCTCCCATTTTCCTTTGATCTTTTTACCAAACACCTGAAAATGGGGAAAATGACTTCCAGAAGTCATTTTCCCCCTTTCCAAATGGACTCTAAATTTAATGCACAAGTTTAGCAACACAAGATTTTTTGTTCCTTTCATGGCCTTGCCTTAACATGGAAACTTAATAAAAAAGGATAAAATTTGAAGGATCATAAAAATGATTGGTGAAAGGTCAGCATATTGTACACATTATTGTGCAAGATATATAAATTGTAACAGTTTTCTTTTTCTTTTTTTTAAATTCTGCCTTACATTGGAAGCCGCTGCTAATGCAAGTTCGTCTGTTCAACAATGGGCGTGCTGTCAAAGGGACTCTTTTAATTAACAAACAGGTAATTCCTCATTTGTCATAATAAACAAATTTTAGGAGTTGATAAGCATTCTTGCAACATAATCTGTTCTTACTTCTTAGGGGCGTTCCACCACCCTTTTTCTGCTAGATTGAACTGTTGAAGTGATTTATCACTGAGTGACATTAAACTCATTTTCCGACTCTAAACGTGACCCCTTCAAGTCAACTTTTTTTACCAACTTCTCCAATAATTTTTTTCATCAATTCAACTCATTTCTTTCTCCTCATTAAATAACTCTACACAATTGCATATCACATTCTTTATTTACGTGCAAATAAAACAATGCAAACCATTTAGGAACAGGAGTATTAGCTATCCCCCTCTCTTCTGTAAGTATTTCATTAGAAGCTCTCATCCAGGAACGGTATTTGCTTTACTGCTTCAAGAAGAAGTAAGTTTTCTACTATATCAGCTCTCTCTTCCCTTACATATCAGTGTATTTTGTTCTTTTCCATGTCGCAGATTGGGCCAGGGAAAATTCAGGTTAGACCTTCAATGATAAAAGTTGAGAAAGATCCAAGACTTTTCGCTACGTCCACGTTTAACTCATTAGAGATAGTTGCAATTAGGTATTCCTCACATCAAGATTACTTCCATGTGTCAACTCTCAAGTATTCATATATGCCTGTGATAAAGATGAATAAAATACTTCTAGAGAATCTTATCCTAGGCTTTTAATTTATGTGAAATGTTATCACATATGATACACAAATCTTCTTATCATTTTTTAGCCCTAGACAGCTGCAATTCCCTAATTATTAAAACATTTGTTTTTATTTTCTACCTAACAGTTAACCGATGTCATAAACACAACATTTGCATATTTGATCATATGAAGAAGCATTTGTTTTAAAATTTACATCATTGCTTCAAGAATTTTACAATTTCATTACTTAACGGTTGAGGTACCTTTTTTCAGCCACAAACCAAGGAGGTCTTATTTGTCAAAATATTTGATTGCTCTGTTGAGCTATGGAGGAGTCCCTGAAGAGTATTTTTTGTCTATAATGGAAAGTGCTTTGGAAGAGACAAAAACCATATACACCAACAGAAGAGCAGCACTAAAAGGTAACCGCTGTCTCCGAAAGTCTTCGTAAAGGTTGTGTGCTCTGTAAAGTTTATATCTTGGAATGGGCAAAAAAGAATAGCATAAAGTTCACAATGGGACAAAGGGAGCATTAATGGATTATACACACTAGAACTCTAGATTTTTTAGTGAGAAAAATAAAATAAATTTCATAAAATGGTTCTCAATCAAGATAAGACAAGAATAAAAAGGATTGATATTTGTTTTGCTGTCTTCTTTTCAAACAGCCGCTGTGAAATATGGAGAAATGGATTATGAGTTCACAACAGCTAAGATTATCTCATCTGGGGTACCGTTGAATGAACCTTATGTCCATTCTTGTTTATCCAGACTGGCAAACATGGAAAAAGACCAGATTAGAAGAGGAAAACTTCCAATAGCAAACAGTTATTACCTAATGGGAACAGCTGATCCTACTGGGATGTTAAACAGTGATGAAGTTTGTATTATCCTGTAAGTAACCGAGAATAAATATAGTATGCGTTATATGATTTCCAGTCGAGTTAATTCACGGCTTTTGTTAATCAATATATGTACAGTGAGAATGGTCATGTTACTGGGAAGGTGTTGGTGTACAAAAGTCCCGGTCTTCACTTTGGGGATATACACATCATGACTGCTAGATATGTACAAGAACTGGACCATATTGTTGGTAATGCTAAATATGCAATCTTCTTCTCAACAAAAGGACCGAGATCAATTGCTAATGAAATTGCAAGTAGTGATTTTGATGGTGACATGTATTGGGTTTCAATGAATCCTCAGGTTGAGCGTAATTTCTCTCTAAAATTTAATTTCTCGCGTGTTTAAATAATTATATTAATTTATCCATTTCGGAATTACAGCTATTGAATTACTACAAGGCAAGTGAACCGTGGAGTCCTCTCTATGTAATGCCAAAAGCAGTTGGTAGAAGGCCCTCTGAGTTTACACCTAATGAGTTGGAGTATGAAATTCTTCGAACATTCTTAGAAGGAAAGAAATCTGGGTATGTTTCATTGTTTCTCATAACTTGCATTTCACATTTTTGCAGTGTCGACATACATAGAAAATTCAAGTTTTTTTAACGTTCTTTGAAACTGAACAGTTTACATTGTGACCTATATCTCAAATTTCTTCATGCTTCTCTGCTCTTTCAGCAACAATATGGCACTGGCAGCAGATAGTTGGCTAGCATGTATGGATCGGTTTTTGACATTGGGCAATAGTTTTACTCAGGAGAAGGTTGATTTGAGAAGAAAGATGCTTCACTTAATTGACTTGTACTATGAAGCATTAGATGCATCCAAAACTGGAAAGAAGGTTAAGTTTCTTGATCCTTTTTTCGGCATGATTATGATATACATTGTACTAATTTGGTATCCAGCTATCTCCGGAGATGTAGTGCCTTACATTACAGTTTTTTGGTCTACCCATTTTGGTGATGTTATTTGTTACTAATAAAGAGCATCTTTATTTTTTGGCCCACTCATTTTTAACCATTTTAAGAAATAACTCAATAAAATGGCCAAATGGTATGCCCCAAAATGGAAATTAGGACATCTTTGGGTTGGGGGGGGGGATATAATCTTTCACACTTGTTTTTTTCATCGTTGGGTTAGGGGGAATATAATCTTTCACACTTGTTTTTCCAACTTTGGGTTGGGGGGAATATAATATTTCACATTTGTTTTTCTATCTTTGGGTTGGGGGGGGAATATAATATTTCACACTTGTTTTTCCATCTTTGGGTTGGGGGGAATATAATCTTTCATATGAAGATCAGTTTCAGACCTTTTTTTACTGCTTATGAGATAGGTCAACATCCCTCCAGAGTTGAAGCCAGAAAAGTATCCACATTACATGGAGAGGAGACCTAGTTACGAATCTACATCTGTTCTCGGTAAACTTTACAACTACAGAGAATCATCCAAGGCTGAAGAAAGTACTCGAATCGGTGAGTCTTGTTATTATGATTAGAATAATGATAAATATGGCATTCATTTCTTTGTTGGATTTTGCCATTCCAAGGAGCTAGGGACAACGTGGAACACTTGGCTGCGCATCAACACATTTATTTTTCAATCCATTTCTCTCTAAGCTTTTGACAAAAAAGAGGCAGTTTCATCGCTCAAATATGTATATAGAATCGTCATTATTATTATTATTATCATTATTATTATTATTATTATTATCATTATTATTATTATATTATTATTATTATTATTATTATTATTATTTGCAGAGATTGGGAAACTACCATGTTTTGATGTTGAAGTTCCGGATGCGTGTTTGGTCCTTTGGGGAGAAAGGTATCACAAACACTATTTACCAGAAATGACAGAAGCCATGGGCTGTGGACCTTGTGGCTCTGAAGTAAGAAATGGTGCTGCAAATGATGTAATCAAGAAATACAAGCAGGTTATTTATATGTTTCTATGTTCATTACAGCTAATTTCAAAATGCGCTTATTGGATACTATAAATATATATTCTTTAAATTAATTTCAAAATGGGCTTATTGGATACTATAAATATATATTCTTTAACTTAACAATGCAGTTGCTGTACGACGCTTCTGACTTTGAAGACAGCGCGAGAAAGATTGATGAAATCTTCAACGAAGCGTTGGCAATTTATAACGTGTGTTATGATTATGCAAAGAGGTTTAATGATGTGAAGAAATGCAGCTTTGCATGGAGAGTAGCTGGTTCTGCACTTTGCAAATATCATGCACTTAAGCAAAAGGGAAGACCCTTTCTCATTTTACCATCCATTTTGCAGGATATTTTGTGATGGTCAAGCATGGGGTATTTATTCTACTTTGGATATGGTAGATTTCATTTTACTTTTAGGTTTGGTTTGGCACACGGAATTGATGGAATTGGAATTGAATTGGGAGTTGAAATTCTCTGGAATTGATTTAGATGGAATGGAATTCTGTAATTCCAATACATTTTTGGCACTACCAATTCCAAATCCACATATTTTTGTGATATCAAACAACAAAATTGAAATTGTTGTTTCCAATTCCAATTCCATCATTTGAATTCTGTATACCAAACGAACCATTACTATACTTTGATGTAATTGTATAAGTAATTGTAAAATGCTAATATGTAGCCATGTAGGTTGATATCGACTGTAAAATATCAAGCTGTAGGTTAACAGATGCAAGGGTTAATAATAATGCATGTTAAGGTTGCGTTCTCTTCAAATGATCTGATCTGATTTGCATTTTTTAAGACTAGTCTAATATGATCTGATCTGAGTGGATCTTTTCGGAATAGATCTGATCTGAATGTATCTGATCTGAATAGATCTAATCTGAATGAGTTTAATTCATTTTCAAACAATTGGAGTAATAATAATAATTTATTATTAATTTGTTTATTATTTTTAAATAATATTTTAAATAATAATTTTTATTATTAATAGTTATAATAGTAATTATTCATTAAGAATATTATTATCATTATTATTTTAATAATTATATTTATTATAATAACTATAATTAAAATACAACAAGGTTCGGTTGACACTGTCATCTTGTGTCAACTGTCAACAGATGACACTCATTTCGAGCACCTCTGGTATTCCAAATGAAAAGTTGATAGTTTCTACATTCTAGTCTCACCCCATTCCAGTCTCACCTCTGCACCCCCACACTAGATTCCCCATTTACCCCTTCAAATGTGTGGCTATTATACATTGCATAATAGCTGCACATTCGGAGGGGGTAAAAGGGTTCTAGGGAGGGGGTGTGAGGCTAGAACTGGGGTGGGGGTACGTGGGAGCGCTAGAGATGCTCAAAATAGGCAAGTATCATCTGTTGACACTAGATGATAGTGTCAACGCCTTATATTTACAAATAAAAATTGTGATTAATTGTTATTATCATTATTATTAATTATCATCACTGAATAATGATTATTATCATTTTAATCATTATTATCAATGAATATTGTTGTTATTATTAAGTATGATGATAATAAATTATTATTGTTATTTTGTCCAAATCTACTCCAATTGTATCAAATTCACAATTTTACTTTTAAAAATACAAAAGAGGAAATCTAGATGTAAAACAATCTTGAACGGCAAATTGTGAATTTAACATATACGGAAATGCTTTAACTATTTATCCCTTGCTGATCGAAGAGGAAGTTGAAGAGATAGGGTGGAGAGCCTAACGAAAAAGAAAGGATAAGAAAGAGGAAGAATTGGAGGCGGGGTCTAACAAAAAACAAAGAAGAAAAGATGAAATGGGAGAGATGAAGAAATTCAAGAGTGAAAAAATATGATACATTTGTTTTTTCGGAGGGGTTTCTATGACTTTGGAACCCCATGTCATGGGATGATCCGACGGTATCTCGTTTGTAAAATTGACGGTTTCTACCTCTCTAACCCCTCAGTGGACCCCCACCCCACCCAACACAAAAACAACCCCACCACCCCTTCAATTGCACCCACCAAATTAATTTTGACTTTGCAGTGAAAATTAATTTGGAGTGCAATTGAAAGGGGTGAGAGGGGTACTCGGGTCAGGGTGCATTGGGATGAACGGTTTACCGGGAGAGTTAGAGAGGTGAATCATCAATTTTACAAATGAGGCACCGTAACAGCCCATGTCATCTCATGACATTGTCGGACAATGTAACATGAACCGTTTTTTACATCTAAAATAAATAAACAGAAAAAAAACAAGTGAGACGACCTAAACAATAGCAATAAAGATATTGAATTGAAATTAAAAATAAGTTGAAAAGGTCATAAGTTAAATACTTCTTTTAACCTAAAAAATGTCGAAAGAATAAAAAATGTAGGAAGTATTTAAAGATAGATTGTGTAGAAAAAATGTCAATAGTCTCACTTCATAATTTTTTTTAATTCTCCCCTCGACTCAGTAACATTTTTTAATTTTACGGAGTTTAAAATATACTCCCTCCGTCCGGATTTCAAGTTCCCATTCTACGCTTTTCTCCGTCCGGAAATAAAGTTCCCATTATACGTTTTCATATCAAATCTTCCTAAAATACCCTTATATCTCCATTTCCCGTCCTTGTTTTCCTTTTTCTTTCTCGGCAATGTCTTCTCCGCTTCTCCGCCAGGTACTCTTTCCTCTCTTCCCCTCCCCCTTCCTTTTCTTCTCCACGTTATCTTTCTCCCCCCCTTTCCTTCATCCTTCTTCTTCTTCTTCTTCTTCTTCTTCTTCTTCTTCTTCTTCTTCTTCTTCTTCTTCTTCTTCTTCTTCTTCTTCTTCTTCCTTTTCCTTTTCTTTTCTCATTTAGATCTAGCCTTCTTCTACCAGAGTTTGGATCTCCGATCCCCCCTCTCTCTTCCCCCCTTCTTTTTCTTTTTTTTTTCCATTTTCTTCTTCTACCAGAGTTTGGATCTCGTTTGTTTTTTCCAGATCTAAAAATCTGGAGATCCATTGTGCTGCAAGAGATTCGAATTGGGTCTGGTTTGCTCAGTAGAGAAGGAGAGATCCATCGATTTGGTGCGGCAAAGAGTTCCGTCGCTTGGGGTTTGTTGGTGCGGCCATCGATTAGTTGCTGCGGCGGCCATTGTTACTAGGACGGATTTGGCTTTAGGGGTGTGGCGTATCTGGTAAATGAAGCCTAGGGGTATTTTGGACAAATTGTAGACAAAGTCAACTTCCCATAAAAATGACCAAAAGTCAAAATGGGAACTTGAATTCCGGACGGAGGGAGTATAATTTTATGATTAAAATTTGTTTAAATTGGAGTGAAGGATGTGAACGACTCATTTATTTCTTTAAAAAAAGAATTTTTTTAGAGGAACAAAAAAATTTGAAAAAACAATTATCCTAAAAATAATACCACGTAATTTTAAGTCACATCATTAAAGAAAATTACATTGTTCAAATACATGATGTATTAGGGCTAGGGGTGTAAACGAACCGAATCGAAGCGAATACCGAGATATTTTAATTTGTATTTGTTTAATTTTTCGAATACGAATCCGAATCCGAATATGAGACGAATTCAAAATAAGATTTGATTAATATTCGAATAGTTAACGACTCCTAAACGAATACTCCCTCCGTCCCACTGTCTTTGTCCACTTACCCTTTGGCACACCATCCAATGCACTTCTTTAATCCATTTTATCTTGTAATTTGTATATTAAAAAATTATACAAATTATATATTAATAATCTATATGTTAAGACGAATCAAACAAGATCACACATGACTATTTTTAGTCTTACACATTGAGAGAATTTGATGAGTCAAAGTGCTTAGATGAACAATTCCAAAAGTCAAAAGTGGACAAAGACAATGGGACGGAGGTAGTATTTGAATAATCATCATACTATGTAATTTATATGATGGACCAACATCAATTTGTAATTTAACTTACGAAACTCCTTATGCTATAACTATTAAAAATCATATGCTTTAGCTTTTCGTGTCTAAAAACATTAATACATTTGCATCTTACAGAAATTATATTTTATAAAATATAACTATTAAAAATCATATGCTTTAGCTTTTCGTGTTACGTTAATTTATTGAATTCTTAGTAATTTAAATATGAAGCACCGAAGTAGCACTAATGTTATGGATTTAGTACCTAAATAGCACTGTCATTTAGCATGCTGTGAACTTCCCGTTTTGTCCCTGTTTTTTTTAAAAAAATTAGATTTATTGGTTTGATGCTGGCAGTGGATGTTACGATTTCAGAGGAGGATAATCAGGCGCCGGATACGCTTTTTTAGCTGTTGCATGCTTCCCGGTTTTTGAGGTCGAAAAATCCGGCTGCTGTTTCGCACTTCCCCATATTAGGCGCGAGAGACATGAAGTCTACGGAGATTGCGACCCCTGGAAGTTCGGTTCCGGCGAGAAGGCGCAGTGTGAGGATAGCAATGGCGAACGAGGAGGCTTTGAACAGTGATGGTCATGCATTGTCAGCGGATGATGCAATGGATGAAATTCCACTGATTAAGCGTATGGTGAAGGTCAAGGTAGGGTTTGGCAGTGTGTTTTTGTGATTTAAGTTTGCTAAAGATACAATTTTGGCAGTATGCATGCGTGTATCTAGGTATCGTTGTTGTTTCATGTTGGGGTTTATATAATTAATTTGAATTTCGGGGGTTTTGGATTTCAAATTATGTCCTTAGATGTGTATTGCCGTTATTTCTCTTAGATATAGTTGGCTACCTTGGTGGTTGTGCGAATTTGCTGGGGGTTTGATTCTTGCAGTGGGTTGGGGTTTTATACCTTGTGGATCTGTTCTACACATGCCTTGATGTAGTGTACATTTTTTTAATTGTGTTTTAATGTGTTGTGTGGCAGTGCGATTTTGTAAGAATAAGTTGGTAAAGTTTATATTTTGGCAGTATGCATGTGTCTATTAAGGTTTATTTGTTTTTTCATTTTGTGGTGTGTTTGTTTAATTTGATTTTTGGGGGTAGTGGATTTGAAATTTGTCATTTGTTGTGCAGTGTTTAGTTTTCACTTTGATATAGGTTGATAGTGTGGTAGTTGGACACATTTGTTGGGTGTTTGAATCTTGCAGTGGGGAAGTGGACAATGAGCGTAGTTGGAACACATTTGTTTATTAGTTTGGGGAAGTGGACAATGAGCGTGTGGTGCCAGAGAGGAATATGGAAATGTGTGCACACTGCCCGGCTGTTTTGGTATGATTCTAATGACATATCTTGTCAAAGTTAAGATATTACTGCAAAATCTGGGCGTGGTGATGCAGTGTTGGCTTTGGTGTTAATGTGGGAAGTGTAATGAATGATTGAGAGCATGTTAGGAATTGCGGGGAGAGAGTTGGGTTGGGGGACATTGACATTTTTTGGCAGTGTATAAGGATGTTAGGGGTATGTGTAATAGTGAATGCAAGAATGTGATCAGTGGATTGCATATTGAAGTAAGTGCACATTGTGGTCTGTCGTGTTATGTTTGCATTAAAGTTTAATGTACTAAAATTAGAGGTTACCTCCGTATCTGGAATAAAGGAGATTTGTCAAGACTGACCGCACGCACAGCCCATGAACAGCGGTCATCAATGCATACAACGTGCAACACGGACCTATTCTACCGCTTTGTCTTGTACTGAAAGCTATTAGATACGGCATACATTTGCAGATGGTGGCATAAGTCTTCCTTGGACTTATAAATGCTGTCAAGTTGAAGAGTGGTCGGGTGATAGTGTGAAATTACATCATCTGGTTTTGCAGAAGGTCTCCTGCGTTTGGTTCGATTGGTTCTTTTCATACTGTTGGAGGGATCAATGATGCCATTAAAGGTTTTGCTGGACATGTTGTTTGTGTTGCTTTGGCCCGTTACGTCGGGAGTGCACGCCAGAGTTTGTGTAGTGTAACACGTGTTACTGGCTGGAACAACATCATATGAGGAAATGTCTTGAGCAAACACGTCACGTACTGGATCAGTAGGTAAAACCTCCATGCATAATGGCAGGTATGACATGTCGTTTTGGTAAGACTTCAACCTCAGGTAGAAGAGCAGTTCAGCATCATCCGAAATAACGATAGGCGGTGGACACAAGGCAACCATGTAAGATAAACGCACATCATTTTGAGACCAGTCCATAGGAATGTGTGCTTTAACAGTGTCCATGAGTGAATTTAGAGTGGTCTCGCAACGGACATCGATAATAGTGTCGTACTTTGAACTGAAATTTCCATGGGTATCCCACGTTCCATTGACACGCACCAATACCTTAATATGTGAATCCATGCTTGTTGATACTTGAACAAAGAAAAATCACATGGTCAGTAACATTGAGGAAAATGATTCTGTTTTTTTTCCTTTGAAGAGAGCATCACAGAGGGTGAAATACTAGACCTTCTAAACATATAGCTATGAACTCCCATAAAAGAATGAAATTGACAAGAAATAACATTTTGCATGTCATTGACTTTTTTCAATGAGATGCAGAAAAGTGTGCAGTTACGATTGGGAATTGGTAGAAGTGTGAAGCAAGGAAGTGTGAGTTTTATTATATGCAACACTGCTTACTTAAACTGGATCAAAAATACAGACAATCCATATAAAAATGGTATTGAACAAAAAGAGGAATTTTTTCCAGTTAACTAAACATAGGAGGATAAGAAAAGCGTAGTATATAATCAAGGGTTTGATATAGAGCAATAGACAGACTACGTTCAAAGAATTGACAGAAAACCAGAATTTGGGGGAAATTAAAAGAAATTAAACCAAAAAAATTGATGAAATCAAATGAGGAAAGTGTCTGACGATGTGTGATGGATACGCTGCAAATACATACCGACCCTGACTGCTGCGTGACTCACTGGAATCGGCGGTGTAAGCTTCCGGCGAATTCTTTAGAAAGCTGCGTGTCTCGCTGGAATGGGGAAGGAGAAGCCTATACCTAGATTGTTTCGGTTGATGTAGCCGGCGAGGACCCTCCCTGAGATTATATGCATTCGGATGTGAGAAAAACATCATTGACATCGTGGTATTAGGCGAGGTTGTAACGGCCGATGAATAACTCCCTCCACAATTAACGCAGGTGAAGGGGAAAATGGGCGAAAGCGATGCGCAGCACTCCCTCCACATTCGGTGCAGGTTACGGAAAAGAAAGGATTGAAAAGGGTAAAATTGGAATATAAAAAAGGGGTATGACGTTAGAGGTGCTAAAGATGTAGGAAATAGGTTGGGAGTGCTATTTATGTATTTTATAATAGGTAGGGTGCTATTGTGGATGATTTCTTTTTAAATATACTTTATACTACGAGTATATTATTTTGCTTGACTTTTGATGTTGAAAACATGGACTGTGCATATATACATATATTCAAATATTCAAATATCATCCGAATCGAATATATCCCGATTTGTATTTGTATTTGTTTAATATTCGAATAAAAAATAATATTTGAATTTGAATTTGTATTTGAATAATGCGAATTCGAATCGTTATAGTCGAATACGAATCACGAATCGAATTTAAAATATTTGATTTGTTTACATCCCTAATAGGGCATCTCCCATGCAAGGAGTTTCCAAATTTTTTTCAGATTCTATCACATCAACGTTAGTTTTAGTATTTTCAATTCTTTTTCAAACTTCAGAAAAACCCTAATATCCATACTCTTTCATATTTTATCACATCAATATTCAACTATCTTTTATTCTACTCCGTATTAACTTCTATTTCAATTTAATCAGTTATCTAATATACTCCGTATAATTATATTATACATTGATTTTTCTACCAAATTTATTTGTAAAATAATGAACCATTAAAAAAATCAACAACATAAATCAGAGAAAGTTATATATAATTAGCACACATGAAATACATAAAATAAAATGAGTACATTTCATTAAAATTATTTAAGTACACACATATAAAAATAAATTCCATGAAATTAATTTAAAAGTATAACAAATTAAAATTAAATAAGTAGACATAATTAAAATATGTAATAGCTTTGTTATGGTTGATCCTTAAGAGAATGCCAAACATCAAAAAATTCAAATATAAACTTGCAGAAAATAAAAATTATACTCCGTATAAAATAAGAATTAAAGAAAATAAAATTATATATGTAGGCATAATTAACGATTGAGTTCTTTTCCAGTTAGGGAGGAGTGATTTTTTTTTATTACAAAATACTTGTAACTAATAAATACTCCCTCCGTCCTAAAACATTCTTCACAACTTCTATTTACATGGCCAAACTTTAATCAGTTTCTTTACCTATTTTTGTTAGTTATTTGATAAAAATAATAGTCTTATAACCTCTTTTTTTGTAGAATTTTTTATGTAAGTTTTAAATATATAAATTTTATTTTTTAATTTTACACCTACAATCAAATAAATTGAAAATAAAGTCGACCAAATCTCGTAAACAGAAACAGGAAGAACGCTTTAGGACGGAAGATGATGGATGCCTAATAATTTCCCTAGAACTGTAGATCCGTCCAAGTCCAAATATTAGTATCTGTGCCTTATAATAATGAGAAAACAATACAAGAATAGTAATGGACTATAATGAAAAGTATTGCTCACATAATAGGGACTCAAATCGGTGATCCTTTCCTCTATTCGGTCCACTTAGGGATCGGAATGTACTCAAGGATCGCCGGAATATCTCTTATTATTACTCAAGTATTTTCTCTCTCTATTACAAGATATATTTCCTCTTAGTTCATTCCTCTTTTATAGGAGTTCCCCAGCCACCATCTCATCAAAATATTCGCGGTGGTTGGGGAGGATATCCTCCTCAGCTGTTTTACTCAGTATGGATCGAAATTTTGACATTGGGCAATAGTTTTACTCAGTTTCCTCCTCAGCTCCGTCCCTGTGGCTGCTGCTGCTTTCTCCTTCAATTTGCTTTCTCCTTGTTGGCATTGAATTTCTCTTCTTCCACTTTGGGGCAGATAATGTTAAGTACTTATTGAAGCAGATGCTGTTGGATTTTTACTGGCATTTCCTGCTCCATTGGAAGTCTTCATCACGTGAAGAGGATTTTTACTGGCAATTCTTGGGAAGTGTGTCTGTGTTTGCAGAGCGCAGCAGCCATTTGTTCATTGAATGCCCATCATTTGTCTCTGGATAACCTCCATTGTGTCGTCATACAGTCGACCACCCACACCCCACTCATCCTCGTTATCATACGGGTCAAAAGCATCACAATGAAGGCCGGGTACATCATTGTAAGCGAGGGACACGGTGATGACTTTGCCACCAAATACACCGTGAATGCTCTGGGCTTCCTTCTTGAACACTGCATCAAAGACTAGATCTTTTTGCACCACACACCATTTCCTGTCATCGTCGCCATGGCACAAATTCAAAGAGACGGAGATGGTTAACCCAGCCCTTTTGGATGCAACCACAACCGAACGATCTAGACGAAAAATACCATCGGGGCCCACATCGACGCGGTTGTCCGAAGATTTGGTAAACATTAAGAATTCACTCTGTACCCCCGCGATTTCCCTCCGGGCTTTGATGCATCCACACACGCGCATGTTCTGAAGCCCGCCAACACAAACCTGAGCCCAAACGGCATCCTGCACTGAGGCATAAACAACACTCACAACTCCGCCATCACCTTCCACGTCCACTTCGAAATAACCATCTTCCTCAACGTTGATAAGGCCTCTGGCAAAAACTCTCTCTTGGCCATCACCACGGTCCTCAAGGAGGTTGATCCCAATGCTGCCCCAATAAATTGCATCAAGAGCAGAAAAATGAGGACCTTTGAGGTTTAAATCATCTCCGCTTGTTTTTGCATCGCTTTCGCATGGTTTGCGGCGAAATAACACCTGCTGGTTATGATCGTCAAAAGCAATCACATTTCTGTAGATTTTAGCACAAGTGCCACCGTGTTTGATATGCTTCACGGTTATGCGCTCCACAGTCACAATGCTCTCCCAGTCCCATATGTTAAAATGAAGGATGTCTGAAAAATGAGCATCTGGGAGGAGGAGAGGGTGGTGATTCTTGGGACGCTTGTCACGGTGGCGACCTTCTTCGTCCGGACAAGGTCTGATCAAAGCCAAAGCATCATGGGGGGGCATCCAATGACCATTTTCCAAAACAAGTTGAGCAGACTCCAGGTCATAAAATTGGATAAAGGCGAAGCGCTTATCATCTTCTCCTCCCACCACCTGGAGCGCAATCACCTAAAACAAGATGTGGTTCCAACAAATAAATATATATGTGTGTGTGTGTGTGTGTGTGAACAATTCAATGTACTTGAATGGGCATATCAGTAAAAATTCTCATACATGCCTGTTCAGGAACTTTTTCATCCAAGATCTGCATCAGGTACTTCTTGTCTACCGACGATTCAAGCCCACGAAGACTAAGAATCGGAAAACGTCTACGGGGCTTCCGACGAATAACCAGATCTTCTTCTTGAGCTGTGGAGGGGGTGGTGGCATGTCCCTCTGTAGCCATTGGATCTACGGCGTCTCCTTGTACCTCCATCGATCGATCTCCTCTCAATTGTTACCGCCGCTTTCTTTTCAAATAAGAGGGTCGCCGGCCCAGAACAAACCCTGAATCGGTAAAAGAAAGGGACGGAGAAAATAATCGGTGGCCAATGTTCTTGAATTGTTACAGCCCCTGCCTCTCTAAAATTTTATCGTGCTCTCTTATTTTGTAAATTTTGTAAACTTTTTATACAATGCCCAGAACATATAGAACTACTCCGTATTATATATGACAATGAGTACAAGCAGATTTGAGCAGGAGTACTAGCACTTATGAAAATTATCATATTCTTATTCAATACAAACATGAATAAACCTGAGTTTTAAATTCTCCATGCTCAGAGAGTATAAATGAGTAGGAACGAATCGCATAGAGGAAGAAGTTGATGATGGTATTGAACTTTTTAATTGTGAAAAAATTGAACAATACTTTATTTCAGAATAAACATTTCCTTATTTGAGAATGAGTATTGTTTTTTTAGAATGAACACTACGCTATTTATTACGGAGTATAATTATATTAGACAAATATGTAAAAATGAGTACTTCTTTATTTTAAAATGAGTACTACCTTTGCCAGAATGAGTACTACGTATTTCAAAATTAATGTTTATATTTGTACGAGAATGAGTACTGCTTTATTTCAGAATGAGTACTACCGGGATGTACCTATTTCTAGGTACATCCGGATGTATCATATACCAACTCCCCTTGTTCAAATATTATCTTAGCTTTTTGACTTATTAATAAAAAAAATAACATATTGTTTCCGCAAATTATATCGTACAACCGGCTATACGAGATGAACCGTACAGCCGGCGAAAATTAGCGATCAAGTGGAGCGCGATCGAGTCAAACCCTAGATGCATTTGATCGGAAAAAGAAGACAGTACAGAGCAGCGGGGAGCAGATCTGCGAAGGTGTATGGAGATAGTGATGGTGATGTGATAATGGGGAAAGTGATTGTACAACAGATCGAAGGGTTCATGGGGAAATGGGTGATATAGAAATTTTTAGTCCGAAATAATTCAGTGTTTGGGTGAGGGAGAAGAAGAAGCATTGGAGATTGATTTTAAACTAAGTGGAATGAATGAGCGGTACCTTAGTTGAGAATGAACACTACTTTATTTGACAATGAGGATCACTTTATTTCAGAATGAATACTATTTTATTTGTAGATGAATATTACTCCCTCCGTCCGGAAATAATGTTCCCATTGTACGTTTTTTTCCGTCCGGAAATGATGTTCCCATTCTACTTTTTAACACACAAACTACCTAAAATACCCCCACCCAATTACTCTATATTCTTTCTTCTTCTCCTTTTCTCACTCGGATCTCTGCCACTCTTCTTCTACCCTCTCTCATTCTCTCTCCACCTCTCTTCTACTTCTCTCTCCTCTCCCTCGTCTTCACCCCCCTATCCTTTTTTGCCTTCTTTTCTTTCTCTAGATCTTCAGATCATTCTTTGGATCAGATTTCTTCTTTTCTTTCCCATTCGGCCCCTTTTTTCTCCTGCTCCTTCCTTTTCTTCTTCTTTATTTTCTTCTTTCCATTCTTTCTCATGTTTGCTTGTTTACCAGATCTGCGAGATCTACAACAATTGTAGAGCCGGCCGCGATAGTGGGCTAGCGACGACGGGGCATATGTTTTTCTTCTCCACTTTATTACTCAATTTTTTAGATCTTGAATTTTGGGGTGGGTCTAATTGGATTGGCAATTATGCTGGAGATTGAGGCGATGGGACGGCGGCAGTTGAGAGGGCCGGCGGCAGTAGTGGGGGTTGTCGGGGGCATTGATTGGAGCGGATGGAGTTTATGGGAGAAGTAGATTGGAGCGGTGGTAGTGCCCTGATGAGGGCAGGAGTAATGCTAGCAAAATGGTATTTTGGACATTTACTTCTCATTGTCAACTCTCCTTAAAAATGAACCGGGAACATCATTCCCGGACAAAGGGAGTATAATTGTATGAAATGACGCCAGTTACTTATACACCAGTTGCTTGCACTAGTATACTGCCTGGGTAGGGAGGGGCGAGAGGGGGGGCTAGGGTGGGGGCAAGGGTGGGGCTGGGGTGGAGGATTTAGGAGGAGGGCGAGAGGGGGGGCTAGGGGGTACGAATTGGTGTAAGCAAATGACACCAGTAGCACTGGTGTCATTTTAGATTTACTATATATATATTCCCTCCGTCCAAAATTAATGTTTTCACTTTGACTTGGCACGGAGTTTAATAAAAATTGAAATTTGCGTTGACTTCCCCAAAATGCCCCTCAACCCTACCCACAACCCTTCCATGTTGAATGCCTATGCATTCTTGCAGCCCAACCCCATCATTCACCATAGAGAAATTCCGGCGATTCCGGCAATCGAAATCCGGCGAATTTCCGACCAGTGTAAAATTCCGGAGACCCAAACTGAGCATCCTGTTCGCGCACTATGGTGTAAAAATCGAAGGAGATGACTAAGATGAAAAAGACTTGAATCAAATTTCTTCATTAACTCCGAAGAAGATGAAGATGGAATAGATCTGAAGACGGTTCTTCTTTCATTCCCAGATCTGAATCGGAAGGTACAAATCGAAAGAGGGAAGAAGAGGGAGAAGAAAAAGCAGAAGAAGAAGAAGAAGAAGAAGAAGAAGAAGAAGAAGAAGAAGAAGAAGAAGAAGAAGAAGAATAGAAATGAAAAATTGAAAGGGGGGAAGAAGAAGAAATAAAATTTGAAGGAGATGAAGAAAGAAGAAGAAGAAGAAAGAGGAAGAAGAAGATAAGGAACGAGAGAAGAAGAAAAGAGGAAAGAAAAGAAAGAAAAAGTGGTGGCTAGGATTTTTGGGAAAGAAACAGCGGATGGGGAAGGAAAAAGAAAAAGAAAAATAGGGAGTGGGTGGGGAGGGTAATTTAGACTTTTTGGTATGAAAAACTTTCCAAAAATAGAAATGGGAAGATTATTTTTGGACGGACGAAAAAGGAAAGTGAGAACTTTATTTGTGGACGGAGGGAGTATGTATATATATGTGTGTGTGTGTGTATATATATATATATGTATATGTATATGTATATGTATATGTGTGTGTGTGTCTACATATATATATATATATATACATATATATATATATATATATATATATATATATATATATATATATATATATATATATATATATATATATATATATATATATATATATATATATATATATATATATATAATACTCAGCTGGTGGGTTTCGTCAAACAAGGGAAGTATCAAAGGAAACCTGAGATTTCTCCAGCCTGGTTTTATCTGCTGGTGCATCTGGAAGCACTACAACTCATTCCTGTATAAAAATCACAAAACGTCCACAAATGCTTTGATGACATTCATAAACAAACTCTCTCAAGCTTGGTTTTGGACAAAAAAACTAGATACAACTTTCCTCTACAAATCTCATCGAGGAATTGAAGATCTGAAGATGTTGTGACATGATTAAAGGGAAAAACTGTTTCATCAAAAACGACATGACGGGAAGTGATGATTTTGTTTGTGGTTAAGTTGAGACATCGAAAACCGTGTTGATTAGATGGGTAGGCAAGGAAAATACAATGGGCCGATCGAGGGGAAAGTTTATGAGAGGCGGTGACTGAGGTGTTAGGATAGCAAAGGCATCCAAAAACACGTAGATGAGAGTAGGAGGGTGGGGTTTGAAAAAACACTTCGTGGAGGGTACGTTTTTGAAGAGTGGTGGTGGGTAGGAGGTTAAATAGATGGCAGGCCATATGAAGGGCTTCAACCCAAGATTCAGGGGGTAACTGGGCCTGGAAGAGGAGCATCCGAATGGTGTTGTTGATGGTTCTGATAGTTCGCTCAGCCCGCCCGTTTTGTTGACTCGTGTGGTGACAGGAGAAACGGAAGAGTATGCCTAGATCATTAAAAATATTTTGGAGAGAAGTGTTGCGATATTCTGTTCCGTTGTCACATTGTACAGCCTTAATGGTGGTGTTAAATTGATTTTTCACATAGGCTAAAAAGGATTTTAGTTGGGAAAAAGCATCAGATTTGTGACGTAGAGGAAAAACCCATATATAGTGTGAGAAATCATCTAACAGAAGCATGTAAAATTTAAAGCCACTAATACTAGGAACAGGGGATTGCCATAAATCAGTAGGGGTGTTCATCGGCTCAAACTCGGATCGAACCAGCCCGGATCGGGACCGGACCGGGACCGAATAAGAGGCATTTTGTGGACCGAGGAACGGACCGATTAAGGTAAGGACCGGCCCGGGACTGGACCGGTAAAACCCGGACCGGACCAGGACCGGACAGAATAATGTGATTTTTTATTTTTTTAAATTTGATTTTATTTATTTAATTTAAAGTATTCAATTGCATAAAAATATTACTACAATTAATTTTTAATGTGTAGCATACACTAAATATTGTCAAACAATGTTGTTTTTAATTTTTTAAAAAAACTTTAAATAAAATATACTACCTCCGTCCCACTGTCTTTGTCCACTTTTGACTTTTGGAACTGTTTATCTAAGCACTTTGACTCATCAAATTCTCTCAATGTGTAAGCCTAAATATAGTCATGTGTGATCTTGTTTGATTTGTCTTAACATATAGATTATTAATATATAATTTCTATAATTTTTTAATATACAAATTAAAAGATGAAATGGATTAAAGAAGTGCATTGGACGGTGTGCCAAAAGGTAAGTGGACAAAGACAGTGGGACGGAGGGAGTATATCATCCATCCGTACATAAAATTTGTTTGTAAATTTTATTTTAGATGAGGAATATTCTTCTTCTTACTGCATTGTTTCTATTTTGTAATATATTTTTTGTGTTTTCGCTTTATTTTGGCAAACAGATACATTTTTTACTACTTTTGTTCATGAGATTGTTAACAATATTTATTTTTGTTGATAACGTTTCATTATTGATAAAGTATAAACTTAAGTTATAGTATTGGTACATAAACTTGAAATGCATTAGATCGCTAATATAAAGGTAATGTTTAATTTTTCACACTTTTCATATTAAAATTATTTAAATATCATTAGAATTGGCATCTTACTTTGAATTGGAATATATTAAAAAAATTATATTAAATAATAAGATCAAAACATTTGAAAAACTTTTCGTATTAAAGTTAAATTAATTTTAAGTATAAGAAAAAACCCTAAAAAACTATATTATAAAACTATTTAAAAACAAATATTAAAAAAATAAATAAATGAATATTATGTTAATCGTAAATGAATATTGAACAAATTTGTGAAAGTGAGAACGACGTTATTTCTGAATGATTACTGCGTTACTTCAGAATGAGTACCACGTTTTTCAAATGAACCATTATGCTTATGCGAGAATGAATACAACTTTACTTCGGAATGAGTAATACATGGATGTACCTATCTCTAGGTTCATCTGGATGTACCATATACCAACTCACTCAGGGCCGATACGGTACCTCGTTCGTAAATTTGACGGTTTCTACCTCACTAACTCCCAGTGGACCCCCCACCCCATTCGACCCAAAAATACCCCACCACCCCCTTCAATTGCACCCACCAAGTTATTTTTGACTTTGTAGTCAAAATTAACTTGGGGGTGCAATTGAAAGAGGGGTGTTCGGGTCTGGATGGGATGGAGGGTTTATCGATAGGGTTAGAGAGAGTAGGAATTATCAATTTTACAAACGAGACATCGTAGCGCCTCTGGGTCATCCCATGACATTGCCAGACAATGTCACATGAACTGTTTAATATCTACATCTAAAATAAATAAACAGAAAAAAAAACAAGTGAGACAACCTAAACAATAGCAAGAAAGATATTGAATTGAAATTAAAAATAAGTTGAAAAGATCACAAGTTAAATACTTCTTTCGTCCTTAAAAAATGTTAGATATCAAAAGAATAAAAATTGTAGGAAGTATTTAAAGATAGATTGTGTAGAAAAATGTCAATAGTCTCACTTCATAAATTTTTTTAATTCTTCCCTCGACTCAGTAAAAATTTTTTACTTTTACGGGGTTTAAAATATACTCCGTAAAATTTCATGGTTAAAATTTGTTTAAAGTGGAGTGGAGGATGGGAACGACTCATTTATTTCTTTAAAACAGAAATTTTATTTCTAGACGAACAAAAAAACATTTGAAAAAACAATTATCCTAAAAATAAAAATTGAAGTCACAACATTTTAAAGGAAAATACATTGTTCAAATATTATCTATTAGTCATTATTCAACTAAATATCTAGTATCACTTGAATATTATTTTTCTCATTAGTCATTATTAAATCCTATTTAACAAAAGTTTAAATGGAAAATGATTTATGTTGCATGGCCACCAATTATCTTCTGTGAAATTTGCACTAAATAGGACTAAAATATAATGACTTTCCTAATGTAGGACTTAAACTTTTTTATTCCCTAAATAGGACTTAATAATGACCTAGTGGAAGGAATAATGTCTAGTAATGCTACACATTTAGTTGAATAATGACTACTTGATAATGACCAAAAGTCCTACATTGGGAAATAAAAACATATGGTCCTATGTCATTATGTTTTAGTCTAGGTAAATTTCTCTTATTTTCTCCGTCCCTTTCTTTTACCGATTCAGGGTTTGTTCTCGGCCGGCGACCCTCTTATTTGAAAACAAAGCGGCGGTAACAATTGAGAGGAGATCGATCGATGGAGGTACAAGGAGCCGCCGTAGATCCGATGGCTACAGAGGGACATGCCACCACCCCCTCCACAGCCCAAGAAGATCTGGTCATTCGTCGGAAGCCCCGCAGACGTTTTCCGATTCTTAGTCTTCGTGGGCTTGAATCGTCGGTAGACAAGAAGTACCTGATGCAGATCTTGGATGAAAAAGTTCCTGAACAGGCATGTATGAGAATTTTTACTGATATGCCCATTCAAGTACATTGAATTGTTCACACACACACACACACATATATTTATTTGTTGGAACCACATCTTGTTTTAGGTGTTTGCGCTCCAGGTGGTAGGAGGAGAAGATGATAAGCGCTTCGCCTTTATCCAATTTTATGACCTGGAGTCTGCTCAACTTGTTTTGGAAAATGGTCATTGGATGCCCACCCATGATGTCTTGGCTTTGTTCAGACCTTGTCCGGACGAAGAAGGTTGCCACCGTGACAAGCGTCCCAAGAATCACCGCCACCACCACCACCAACTTCTCCTCCTCCCAGATGTTCATATTTCAGACACCCTTCGTTTGAACAAGTGGGGGAGCATTGCGACTGTGGAGCGCATAACCGTGAAGCATATCAAACACGGCGGCACTTGTGCTAAAATCTACGGGAATGTGATTGCTTTTGACGATAACAACCAGCAGGTGTTGTTTCGCCGCAAACCATGCGAAAGCGATGCGAAAACAATAGGAGATGATTTAGAACTCAAAGGCCCTCATTTTTCTGGTCTTGATCCAAGCCCTTGGGGCAGCATTGGGATCAACCTCTTTGAGGACCGTGGTGATGGCCAAGAGAGAGTTTTTGCCAGAGGCCTTATCGGCCTTGAGGAAGGTGGTTATTTCAAAGTGGACGTGGAAGGTGATGGCGGAGTTGTGAGTGTTGTTTATGCCTCAGTGCAGTATGCCGTTTGGGCTCAGGTTTGCGTTGGCGGGCTTCAGAACTTGCGCGTGTGTGGGTGCATCAAAGCCCGGAGGGAAATCGAGGGGGTACAGAGTGAATTCTTAATGTTTGCCAAATCTTCGGACAACTGCGTCTACGTGGGCCCCGATGGTGTTTTTCGCCTGGATCGTTCGGTTGTGGTTGCATCCAAAAGGGCTGGGTTAACCATCTCCGTCTCTTTGGATTTGTGCCATGGCGATGATGATGAGAGGACATGGTGTGTTGTGCAAAAAGATCTAGTCTTTGATGCAGTGTTTAAGAAGGAAGCCCAGAGCATTCACGGTGTATTTGGTGGCAAAGTCACCGTGTCCCTCGCTTACAATGATACGCCCGACCTTCATTGCACTGATTTTGACCCGTATGATGACGACGAAGATGAGTGGGGTGTGGGTGGTCAACTGTATGACGACACGATGGAGGTTATCCAGAAACACATGTCCTTGCTCAAATCGTGTTCCCGCTAGAATCTTGTAGAAGCTGGTGAAGACATACCTTTAGAAGACTAATTAAAAGATATAGAGATGTGAAATTCTAAACATTCTATTTAAAAGGGAGTTTTTGGCATTCTTCTTGACCATTCATGGTCGTCTTAAAGTATACATCTTGGAGTCCTAGCAAATAAGAACCTGGAGTTCTCCCAAATACTACCTATGGCCCAAAATGATATTTCATATTCGAACTGCAAAGTGTAAAATTTATGATATTTAAAATTATTTTTTATTTATAAATTGGTATAAAGATGAAAAATAAAACTTGTATATTTAAAAATTACAACAAAAAAGCTAACAAAAATATTCTAATTTGTCAAAATAAACAATGAAAATATGCAAAGAAACAAAAGTTATTGACATTGTAATAGCAAAAGTGTAAATTATTTTGGGACAAAACAGAGTATAAGAGCTCATGCAAAACAAGAAGTTAAAACTGCCGGAGTATTCCATATTAAATACTCCGGTGTAAATACAGACAAACATTGAAGAGGAAAAAGGTAAGATAATCATATTTTCTTATTACTTGAGAATGTTGCATATGAACACCACCAAGCCACTGGTTCGTTCAATCACACCTCAACTCTAATTACAAAAGGCAAAAAGCCAAAGCTAATCCACATACAAGTATGGCTAATCAAACGACGTAAAAACGTAGTCAGTAATCAGGAATAGAAGCAAACCGATAACCTTGAGCGCCCCTCCATGAATAGTACGCAATTCGTGTTTCATAAAAGCCTGCAGGGAGTCAATCATGTCATAAACTAAAACCAGATCAAAGAAGAAGCATGTACAGAATAGGCAATTCTACTATTTGCAATCCATCAATTTCACCCTTGAACTGAACTAGATGTAATATGAAGCTTCATACTCCTGAGAAGATATCAATTAGCCTATGAAAATTCTATTCTATTGCCACAGTTGACACCACAAGTGACTGTCTGGGTTTCTTTTTGTCCTAACAAAGAGTGCCATGAGAAGACAAAACTCACATTGCCACTGTCGTTGAACACAGACAGTATACCATGAGAGGACAATACTCACAAACGGTGTCACCTGTGGGGGCACTGTAGCATTACTCATTAGCCTATATGACCTGCCACTGCACCATATATTCCGGCATGTCTTTCTTCTCCATCGCCGAAGGCCAACCATAGACAGTGAGCAACTTTCCTTCTACACATCACCTTCTTTGCAACAAAGAAGGCACAGATTACTTAACCCTGTGATGGTAGCAAATTCAAGGGACACAGCATCTGGTGAAGGTCTTCGGATGTGCAGAGACTGACACCTACGAAGTTCATTCTCCTCTTAACTCCTCCAAAAGAATGCCAAATTGTATATCCTTTTACATCAGTGACCTACTCAAATCATTGTTAATTTGTTTATAAATTTGATAAATCAGTGTGGATTTGCATGATATGCAATCACTGAATGGGTGCAGGGAAGACGACGAGAAGGGTGTGAAGTTAAAGGATGCACATAGTCAAATTTTTCACCCTGATCATCACCAGCTTAGAATAATTACTGAAAGAGGTTTTGTCGGATTAATGTCTTCAATGAATGGAATTGTCCACTCCAATCTTCGCCGTCGGATTGTCTTTGTGAGTGTGAAAAGAAGAACAAGCTTAAGAAAAGAGAAAGAAAAAATAATACAATAAACCGCTCAAGAAGCAACAACAACAACATTACCCCAGTGCCCCAATGGCTCCCGCCCATTGCGGGGTAAGGGTCGGATGTACGCGGTGTGACCCCCATGTTTAAAACATAGAGGGGCTGTTTCCAGATGAGCGTCAAAAGTTGCATTGACTAACTCTACTTCACAAGCGCAGACTGTTTAAAGAGTCAATTTGCTTTATTCTATCATACCCCAAAGCAAAAAATGGTGAATCTTACACCAAGCAAACAAAGTAAGAAAAGGAAAAGAAAACAATTTCTTACACCAAGACTACCAAAACTTGAATTTGCTCGTGAATGGCAGTGATGTAGATAATTTTTGAAGGTTTGGATAAAGTAAAGCAAACTACCCTTTGAAAGCAAGCCAAATGCAGGCAATATGGGCTAAATGGGTATTTGATGCCTCTTTACCAGTTATAAGCTTTAGGTGACACGAATTTCAGTTCAAGGCTGAAATTAATGGATTGCAAACAGTAGGTTGGCTTATTCTTATTATTATCCCTTATTATAATACTCCGTAACTAATATGTTACTCCCCCATCCTTCCCACTAATTTCGTACCATATTTAGTAAGATATGTGCGGATCACATTCATTCTTACTTTTTAACATTAATATCTTCCACATTTCTAAATTTACGTACCCGTGTGCCATTACCCATTCCCGAAAATAGTGGGACGGATGAAGTAGTATTTATGCTTACCTAGCTAACCTACTAAAATAGATATACAGGAACAAATCAAACATGTTTGGAAGCCTAAATATCAAGAACATAGTCGCCACTAGTGAAGAAAAGAACAGAACGTCCCAACCATAATCAAACTTGGAGGAACCAGACAATCAACAGATATAAACCATATACTCCCCGGTTATGAAAAACTTGTAAGCTTCTTCTATGGTTTCCCCAAATCAGTTCTCATTTTCCCTCGAGAGAAAGATTTATTGCCTTTTCCAATGATAGCCCATATACTTTATTTCTATGGTGAATCGTATCACATTTTTACTCTCGAAAAGTATTTAACAAAGCATAGATCAATACACTATATAATGTCAAATAAGTCTTTAAAGCTTTAAAATTCAATTATTTTAAGGCACCTGTTATATGTTTGAAACAAAAAAGAGACACAACAACAACAACAACCCAGTTAAATCCCACAAAAGTAGGGTCTGGGGAGGGTGTGTGTACGTAGACCTTGCCCCTACTCGAAAGTAGAGAGGCTGTTTCCAAAGAGACCCCCGGCTCAACGTCGAAAGTTGCATTGCTTAACTAACTGCTACTTCATTAATTAAAGAAGCACAGACAGTTTAGAGATCCATTTTGATTTATTCCATCACATCCCAAAGCCAAAAATGGTGAAATTTTGGCTCCATCCGAGATGATGGAAATTAAAACAGAGATAGTAGAGTCAATAGATAGTTAAGCAAAGTTTCTTAAGATCATTGTTAAAATCTTCAAACTTAAAACTGAGAAGCTATGTTTATAAACAATTGCTATTGAATCCATGCATTCATGCAAAAACACCTTTGAATTAGCAAGTCTCTTGCTTAAGACAGCATAAAGCACAAAAAATATCAATAAATAAAGGTAAACATTAGTTTCTCGTAGGACATTTACCTGGGAGAAAGGTTAAAACCCCGAGTCCTAAAAGGCCATATGCTTGGGAATGGTCTCCTGCCATATGACCAGTGAGAATGAAGATTGACAGCAGGAGAAGAAGACATCCAAGTAAAAGTAGAAAAACTGCAAGGGCAAGAGACTTCCATGGTACTCGATCTAGAGACTTTGGTGAGTAGTCAAATCGGCGGTCAGGTTGTCTTGAATCCCTGCCATAATATTCATCATCTTCATCCGTGGCAAGCCGGCTATAACGAATATTACGCTTAGCAGCCATCGCCTGAACTCCTTGATACAAGCAAATGTCTGCAAGCTCAATGAAAAAATGATCTAGATCTAATAAAATAAAAGACTATGTGGCAGAGAACAAGATAATGAGACTGAGAAGACAACACCATTAAGAATGTATTGTACTTTTCTCTTTAAATATAAAAAAACACAATCTTTCAATAAGACTGAAATTTAAAATATAAAAAAAAACAATCTTTCAAAAGAAAGAAAATTAAACATGTTGTAGTGACACTAAACCATTTATTGTGGTCAATATTTTACAATAACAAAAAACACACCAAAGTGATGGAGCCCTATTCTGTTTTATAGCACATAGTAAATAGTGAAGTTTTCCGACAAAAGTTTTTTTCACACAAAGCTTCTAGCACAAGTCTCTGTTCTTTAGTAGCTTCACCCATGGAGGGTGAGTTTTATCATCCGTAGGACATCTCCTCACTCCAATTCTCTAATTATGGAGAGCACTGAGCACTGACATCTCCTCAGCCCAATTCTCTCCCCCACCCTTAGTTACTTAGAAAATATGAAGACAACCACAGTACAACCCTTGTATGCCTACTCTCATTCTTATCTCTTACATCTGCCAAAATTAATCTAAAAAGGCACTAGCATTTTATTTTAAAATTTTCTGAAAAAATTAAATACTTCCGTATATTTTATAAACCCAAAATTGTTGAATTTCAAAAATTTGCATGAAGTTTAAATGAAATTTGAAACATGATAATATTTGAAAAAACACAAAATAAAAGATGGATTAAAAATATGTAATTCAAAATTCACTACTTATTAGCTTATGCACTCCAAAATGGATAAGGACAAAGAATTGGGCAAGTTTATATGACAACCTTTAAATACCTGATCTAAATGGGAGGGGAAAAAAATTCTCCTAGATCACTTCATAATATTTAGATGCCATATATATATATATATATATATATATATATATATATATATATATATATATATATATATATATATATATATATATATATATATATATATATATATATATATATATATATATATATATATATATATATATATATATATATATATATGAACTCATAGATATAGAGCTTCAAAGACACTTGATTTGTGATCAATCATGTCTGTTATATCATCAGCAAGTAAATGACTAATCCAAAACAGGTCAAAATGCAAAAGATCGAAAGATTTCAAAGGCCACTTACTACAAAGGCAGGCCACACCAAAACCTAGGGGTAAAATAGCTTCTAGGGTGCAGGAGACCCGACCCGACAAGGGCACTCTACGTAATGTATCGTTAGCAGGATAAAAGGCCTCCGGCTCCGGTAGAGTTAGCTGCCGGAAGGGAGAGGTGCGGAGCAAGGGAGCAGGGTGAGAGGAGGGGAGACGGCAAGGGAAGTCGAATGGACTGAAAGCGGAGCTTGTTTTCAGATCTTAATTCTCTGGCAGTATGCACTTCGACCTGGGCTTGTGATCCTCTGTACCCTTGTTTCTTAAAGCAAGCTATCAGATTTCAACCAATAAAAGATAATCCAAACAGCGTGTGACAAGTGAGTGGAGTGACATATCGTGCAGTAACAAGTCATTGTTTTTATCAATTTTTATGATTTTCTAATGCATTTTAATTATTAAAAATTGTTTCATTTATTTTTTAAAATAGATGTACTCTTTTTTTTAAAAAAATTATTTCTTCTAAAAAATAAAAAAAATAAATAAATAAACCTGAAGATGCCTCGCGCCTCACACGCTTGGCGTGGAGGGAGGCTGAAGCCACGTGAGGCGAATTACGGATTCTGCTGATGTGGCGCAGCGAACGAGGAAATGCCTCGCCGCTGCGCATGCTCTTAGTCTCTATCCACCAATCAAAATTTGACAATCTATTGTTAAAACAACGAATTGAATAAAGCATTATAAAATTTTATTCATATTTAAAAAATTTAAAAAATGATACCATTATATTTTTTTATTTGAATAATTATTATTATTATTTGTATTCGGTTTGATATTAAATTCAAATATTCAGTTTGTATTCCACTATTCGTATTCTTTAATAAAATACAACTTTTTATTTGTTTATGTTTTATAGCTCAAAAATTAGTAAAAAAATCACCTAAATAGAAGTAAACTATAGAGAAAGTATCAAAATAGGAATTTTAATGTTTTTATCTCCAAAATAGTAGTTTACTTTATTTTAATGTGACACTGTATATAAACAAATTCACAATACTTTTTAGTAATGTACATAGTCATGATTAGCATTTTAAATATATTTCAACTTCTATTTTGATACATTTCCAATATTTTACTCATAATTTAGTATTTATTCAAAATTAGTAGGTTATTAAAAATGACATATCTACAACAATAAAAACCTAGTTAGATCCCACAAGAGTAGGGTCTTGGAAAGATGTGTGTAGGCAAATCTTACCACTACGGAGTACTCTTTAATATGAAGTAAATATATTAGGCACGGTATAAATTCATATTTAAATTCGAATATATTTGTTAACATCTCGAATCGAATTCATATACATTCGTATTCATATTTGCTTTCTTTCGAAATAATAAATTTAATATTCTTATTCGTATTCATTTTTTCGAATACGAGTAATTCATTTCAAATCAAAACTATTCGTTTGTTTTACAACCCTAGTCTCAACTCTCTCATTTAACACAAACTCACCTTAGAGATAAGGTAGAAGAGCATATGTAGGGCACTCGAAACGGGCATGACGCTCTACCCATCAAATGCACTTTTGACACCGCAAGGGCGTTAAATACCGCTCCCTTCCATCGTCATTCGGGCGTTAACGCATTTACATTAAATGTTTGACGCAATTGTTGGTAGTAGATGACCCCCCCCCAACGGTCTAATTTTAGGCCGTTGGCCAATTTTATTTTTTTTGTTTTTTCAACTATAATACACCCTTATTTAAAAAGAATACAGACACAACATATTCTCATTCTCCCTATAATTCATTCAAAAATATTCTATTTTTTTTAATCTCTCTACAAAACACTTAAAAAAAGATCATTTTCATTTGATGATGAAATAAGAGCTCTCTCTTTTTTGTTTCGCGGTTGGATGTTACCAACGGTGGCAACAAGCACAACAAGAGGAAGCGGAATCATCACAGTGCTCGACCTGGCATGAGCGGTTAAACCGTGATCGGGCGGCACACGACGCATTACTCAACGACTACTTCAATACTCTGTGTGTTAACACACCGGAGGATTTTAGTAATCATTTTCAGGTGAGCTGCTTTTTGTTTTGATGCATACTCACCGATATTGAACATGAGGTAGCTTGGTTCAGCCAACGATTTGATGTGAGAGGTTGATGCAGTTTTAACAGCGTCTAAAAGTGCACCGCCGCGCTTCGTCAGATGACATACAAGACCGCTTGTGACATGTTCGATGAATACTTGAAGATGCCATCTCCAAACATCAGGTCATGTATTTATAAATTTTCTAAAGCTATTATTCGACTATACCATAAGAGGTATTTACGTAAGCCGACGGCTAATGACATTGAACAGTTACAAGCGAGGCATGCCGCTTAACTCAGCTTTGTCGACATGCTTGATAGCATCGATTGCAGCACACATTGAGAATGGAAAAACTGTTCCATTGGGTGAAATGCTCAGTTCTCCAAGTGTGATCATCCCAAGCCTATTATTATGCTCTAGGGTGTGGTTTCAAACAACTTGTGGTTTTAGCATGCTTTTTTGGTGTTGCGGGCTCGAACATTGGCATCAATATTTTTTATCAATCACTTGTATTTGACGATTAGCTCGGTTAATGAGATTGTACCCCGATTCGTCTTTTGAGCTTAGAGGGACACTTTACAAGTGTGTATATTATTTTTGTGATGGAATATATCCGATAATTTCACAATTGTATAGCTCCTCTTTGAGCCAATCGGTCTTAAATGACAGACCTACAAAAAGCTCATGAGGCGGCGAGAAAAAAGATATCGAACTAGCTTTTGGGGTGTTAAGGGTAACTACACATTCTACATCATCCGTCCAAGTGTTATTTTCAAATGCAAATGAGGAATATCATGTACGCATGTATTATTTTTCATAATATGATTATAGAGGACATGTTTGTAATTGGTCATTACAACCTAGACGATGAGATGCCTATGTACAAAGAAATTTATTAAGAAAAGAAACGAAGAAACTGCCAAGAAATGTGAAGCCGAGAGATTCACAATGCACTAACGACGGATTTAATCGAACATATTTTTAGTCACTCAAATAATCATTAATTTCTTAGTAATGTAATGTAAATTTAAATTTTTTTTATGTAACGCATTAAAATCTTTTTTTAGTAATGTACTTTTTTAATTTAATGAATTTATATCGTTTAAATTCAATGAATTAATGAACTTTAATTAGTTTACTTTTACAAAATGTGTATTAAAAAATTTAGAAAAAATAAAAGTTTGAAGCCCAGTTTGAACTCTTGAAGCTTCAAACTCATTTCAATGAAAATGTGAAGTAGGTTAAAGGAGAGTTAAGGTTCATATGACAGCAAGAGAAGGTTTAAAAGCCTAGGGCTTCAAATGTATTTTCAGTGCTCTTACATATGTGTCAAGTTTGATTGGTCGGACCGGAAATTGGGATGCGTTTAAGGGACAGAGGATCCCGACTCCTTCGACCTTGCTTTCTTTCCTTAAGTTTTTATCCCACCTGAAAAAATTAGGAGCCTTGTTAACCATTTAATTTTTGTATACTTGCTCATCTTTTTATTCACACTTAAGATGAGAGAAATATAGATGCAATGGTGTATAATTAGATACTCCATATATATATACTCCGTATATATATATATATATATATATATATATATATATATATATATATATATATATATATATATATATATATATATAGTGTGCTCCTAACATTTTTAAAAAAATTAGCCAAAATATTTTGAAAACAGATATCATTATTCGTCACAACTTCAATTTAATACTTACGATACTCTGTTTATAAAATAATACGGGAGTAATTGTCAAAAGAAGACAACCGAGAAAAAAATTTATTCTTTGTCCTAGGTTACCACGATTTTCTTCAACTCGAAATGTGTGAAAAAATTTAATACAAATCCAATCATTTTTGTCCTCTGCGAACAAGTTCTTTATTTTTATTCTTGGCTAGTGGAGGAGGGGGTCGGGAGTGCAAGGGGATAATGAAAATGTTTTGTAACTCAACAAAATGTTTCATAGTAATTACGTACTGATGATGAGTTTCGAACTCGTAAATATTAGTCATCACGGCTCTAATACTATCAAAGAATCATCTCAACCAAAAACTCAAGTTCTCGTTGTAGCCCAAGAAAGATCTTTTATATTCTAAGAGACTACAACAAGCTTAATATAGATCTCTTGGTGGGCAAGTAGAGACTAGAGATCATAGTTAAATGTTTATTTAAACAGTTTGACGACCCTTATCAATTAGCAAATGTTTTGTAACTTAACAAAATGTTTCGGAGTAATTACGTACTGATGATGTCTACTAGCAAATGTCTGGTTAATAACACTTTTTAAACAAATGTTTTCACCTTAATTTAAAAACAAGCATGGAGTCAAAATACTAGTCTTAATTCTCTTAAAGCATATGCTTTAATTAGATCTTAGACTCTAAATCAAATGATAATATAAACTCAAACTAAACACTGTAAAAGTATGAAGATTGGAAACTGAAATCTAGAGCCTGAAAACTGAAGTCTGAAAATAAGATTTCAAGAGTCTACATAACTGGGATATAAAGTTGAAAAAACATTCTCTTGAACAATATAGCCTAGAGTTTAAGTCCCGATACTGCACTAATTTAGCTAAAAACTCGAACGTGAATAACTCGATCTGAAATTTGAAAGAAACAAAGTGTGACTATATGAGCAAGAGAATTACAAGGAAACAAATCAAACCCTTCTTTTGGTAATTACAAGGTATATACATTTCTATAGTTTTTACAAAGGCAATATAGGAGTTATTCAAGAACTGAAAAGAATTGTTATTAGGGGCAGGCATCACTACAATGCCAACTATAATCCACATGGTGTTACCTCAAGGTATGAATGAACACCTCATATGCATCCTCTTAAAATCTTGCCAATCGAACAAAAATGTGAAGACGAATAATTCATAAGGAATATGTTGCATTGTGGGAGTCCGTTTTGATTCATCAAATCCGGATGGGGTAATGTGTATCGTCAAAGGAGTGACGATGAAGCAATAGAAGCGTGACTCTTTTAGGAAAAGATCAAACTTTCCCTTTCATGTATGTCTTTCTATTACCACCTATAGTTGGTTGTGAAGAAATGCGAAAATTGCAAATGGTACTCTTCGTAGGCAAGGAGAGCTATCAGGGTAAGGTTTGGTTGACAAGACCCATAGACATTGCGACTTCATTGTTTGCTAGTGTATCAGCTTGTTCCTGTTCAATAAAAAAATGAGCATGTTGGTTGAAAATGTTTGGAGTCAAAATTTGACTCCAAAGTCAAATCAACTTGTGGGGTGCAATTAAAGGGGGTGGGGGGTGTGTTCGGGTCGGGGTGGGGTGTGGGGGTTGACCGGGGGTTAGGGGGGGTAGGAACCGTCAATTTTACGAACGGGGCACCGGAGCACCCCCAGGTCATCCCATGACATGGGGTTCCAATGTCATGGGAACCCCACCCTACTAAGAATTCATGCTAGCTAGTGTGCCATTAGCTAGTGCAGCAAATGGGGATAAATGAAAGGTAAAGTACTGACTAAAATCCGAGGGAGATGGTAATGGATAATGCAAGGATATTTAAATACATATATTGCGTATATACCTGGAGGCGATGCAGTAAGTACATCAAGAACAAATGAACAAAGACCTGTTATTCCACACATCAGCAGGCACATTATACTCCAATTTTACCAATCAGTCACAGTAGTGTAGGAGTGTAATAGAGCATATTTTGTTCAGACCAGGTAAAAAAGCAGGATAACTCGAGCTGTAGGATATCGCCAGAGAAATCGTGTAGCCCGAACTGCCCCTGAGTCTAAAAGTTTTGCTGCCTTCTGTAACTGCATAGCAACGTCGGAAACACAGACTATTTAACTTCCTTCGAGTGATGGATGAAAATGTTTAAACACCAAATATACCTGTACACTAGCTGCAGCCATATGTCGATGATGCAATGGGAGAGGCCTGCAATTTGGCTTTGTTAGCGAAACATGATGGGTACACCAGGGAGCAAAAATTAAAAGAGAAAGCCCCAATTAACCTTGGACTTGTTGGCTTTCCGGCTTAGCCCCATAAACTAATAAAAATACTTTGTAATAAGTAACGCCCCTGAACTTTCAACAAAAACGACAATTGACCTTACACATGCATGCCATGGACGTCTCAAATACAACCATGAGTACGTAAGTGGCTGAAGTTGTGAGCTAATTAAAATGTATAGATGGTGTTTTATTATTGTAATCCTGCTTTTAGAAGTATAATGGCTACTCATTCTAACTAGATTTAGGTTTCCCATTCAATTGGGTTATGGTCCATTTTTTCTATCTGTTATGTTTTACGGAAGGAGAGTTGGCGAGTGGCACGAGACAACCACCTGCCATGACATTGGTAAAAAGGAGTAAAACAGAAGAAGGAAAGGTAGAAGAAGTTCATTTCTCCATCATCTAATAATCATGTGTGATCTGATGAAGAATTGCACAACAATATATAGGAGAGTCTAGACTACACTAACCCTCAGTCAAAGAAACAAACTCCCTAAATCAGAAGTCAACACTGTCATCTATAATCAAAGAAATATATTCAACAAAAAAATTCAACACTTTCCCTCAAGATGGATCATATAGTCCTATATGATCCAACGTGAATGACTGAAAACATTTTGAAACATTTCAACACTCCCCCTTGAACCGGATTATGTAATAAGTTCCAGCTTGGGAAGCTATCAAATCACCTCCCCCCCNTATAGGAGAGTCTAGACTACACTAACCCTCAATCAAAGAAACAAACTCCCTAAATCAGAAGTCAACACTGTCATCTATAATCAAAGGAATATATTCAACAACAAAAATTCAACACTTTCCCTCAAGATGGATCATATAGTCCGATACTCCTATATGATCCAACGTGAATGACTGTAAAAACATTTTGAAACATTTCAACACTCCCCCTTGAAACTCCAAGAGGGTAGAAAGTGAGACTCTAGAAAACTTGGCCATTAAATTGGTGAAATAGTGCAGCAGAAATCATTCCCATGGCAAAATTCTGGATAGAATATCACATGGCTTCAATGCCACTTCATGAGGCCTCCGGAAAAATCAAATCATTGGAGGAAAAATCACATGGCTCTTCAGCTCCTGGTGAGGTTCGCCCAATCCTAAAATTAAAATATCACTTAGCTCTTAGTAAGGCTCATCCGAAAAAATCAAACATTTTGAGGGATACCACTCGGACACTTTTTGAGGCTCTTCCAGAAAGATATAGATGAATATCAGAAGTGCTGCAAAAACTTTTAGCAAAAGTTTTAATGGAGACCTGTGGGCTCAGATATGCCAAGATGGGAAGCTGATCAGAGACAAAAGTTCGCGAGCATGACGACATTCCGAAGGTAGAACCAGCAGGTTAATGGGGAAAATATAAAAGTTGGGGATTTGTCATTTTAGAGAGTCACTGAGTCAGTAAATAGAACCAGAGTATTGGTACCATCATTAACTTCAGATTTTAGGCTGTTAGGAGGCAGATAAAATTGGACAAGAGCTAATATTGGGTGGATAAATGAAATAAGAATGAAGGTGCCAAAATACCCTAGACTGTAACAGAAATTGGTTTGAACTCCTAAAACTTTGACAGAGAAAACGATTTTGGTAGTGAAATAGGTGAGAGGAAATATAATAGTGTTGGAAACAGCTATGCAATGAAACTTGTTGAGATATGTCTTCAACAACCTAGAAGGAAGGTTTGGCTGTGAAGAACATCAGAAGCATAGATTTTTATAGTTGGATTTCAAGAGCCCAAAACTTAAGTGGAAGCCCAAACAAGTGAGTTGTTAGGCAGCAGCAGAGCACCAACTGTCCTAGATCTGAATGCAATATGTGAGACCCGAAGTTAAAGTAGGCCAACAATACTTCTGAATTTTGGTCCAAAATACTCAGCCATGTCCTCAGATTTCATAGAAGCAACTCAACTCTGTAAATTGTGGCATAAAAATGATATTCTTCCTCACCCAAATGAAATGGCTAGCAGCAGCGCAAAACCAACAAAAGCTGCCACATGTCAGCAACACATCAATGCAAAAAATGAAGGTAGATGCTCCAGCCAACAAAAGAAAAAGAGTGTAAAAACAGATCCAAAAACATGATGCCACCCACTGCTCATTGCTCAAACATTTCAAACAGCCAAAACGTAAGCTAACATGCAGGGAACACCAAGCACTACCAACTAACAGCTAACCTGGAAGGTATTTTGAACTGTAGGTAACCTCATAGAAACAGGCAGATGATGACTCCGGAACCACGTGGGACAACAAAAATATCCTGATTAGGTTGCTTGGGTATTAGAAAAAGGATGGGAGGGAAAAATGGCTTCAAATTGGTTTAAATGTCTAAACTAGCATTCTTTACGCTTGGAAAGATGTTTTTTACCCAAAAAAATGGTGTTTGGTCGAAAAATCAGGCCAACTCTGATGGCTCTGATACCATGTTGAGTTCTATGGAAAGAAAGGCTCGACGGGTGGCAAGAGATCACCACCATCCATGGCAACGAAAACGAGAAAGGTGTAAAAGAGAAGTAGGACATTTCTGTATTATCTAATAATATTGTGTACATAAATGATGATTAACATAACAATATATAAGAGAGTCTAGCATACACTAACCATCAATCAAGGAGACAAACCCTTAAATTGAGGAAATAAACTCCCAAAATCAGGAGTTGACATCTATAGCTATAATAACATTATTAGATTCAAAACAATATTTCAACACTTAATATAAGCATTGTAATGTGGTATTTAAAAGTTATGCATTTGTGAAATGTGAGTTCTGCATCTTTAAGAGCTTTTATAGTCCAACATTGTATCAAGGTCCGATCCCTAAAATATTTCACAAAACCCTAGCCTTGTGGAAACATAAGAAACCCAAGGTCATACACCTAGTGTAGCAGGAGCTGGAGTTGTCAGGATAGCAGGAATAGCGAGCACAATGGTGCCGCTTCACTGATATTTCTTTTCTGCTATCAAAAAAATGCATTAGGGTTTTCGGAGGATCGTTTTTGAAATTCAGAAGTAAAAAAGTGAACACTTTAAATTCGGAATGGCAAACAACCTTGGCCCCTCCTTTATCTTTGCAGCTACACATGTCTGCTCTCTTCAATACAAAGTTATGATTCACATTTCACAAACATCCATCATCTCTTTCTCAGGTGACCCAACTCAGGCAACCACCTCAGTCTACTGGTTCTTAGTCCCCCAGGCCCCAACCTCTATCTCCATCAAACATCACTCGTTTTTTCCCATGGGATAGTAATCTCCAAGAGTTATTAATAAAGGGATGAAACAGAACATACTCAAGTGTTTTAATGTCACTCTCTTCTTCCCAAGAAGTTGATGCTCGGCGAGAAACTCTGCTGCGCTCAGCTTCTAACTGTTTCAGATAAACAAATTCATTTAGAGCCCAAACCAGGCTTTGTAAAGGATGCTAAAAAAGAAAACCACAAACCTGTGCCTCCTGATGACGCTTTGCTTCCTTCTCTAATTGAAATTCTGCTGCAGCTTTTTCAGTGGCCATTGCTTCAAGCTGTGTTTGTTTGTAGTACTGAAAGATAGTTTGAGCACTAATAAGTGCACTAGAAATAAAATGTCTAATATACAGAATAAAAGTTACAGGATAATGTCTTTGTAAGAAATACCAATAGATCAGTTAGTTCACGATACCGTTTTTCTAGCTCCAAGTGTTCCTATTCAAGTCATATATGAAATATTCTATCAGTATACCAATCTGAAGAATTAGCTCAAGAAAACATAATTAGCCAAAAAATGTTAAATTGGGTGTGAGAACAAGTTGAAGAACAAAGAATCAAATGTCAACATATTGACATATTGATATGTGGAAAGAGCAAGCTCACTTGACGTGAGTAATGCTCTGCATCTCTTTTCATGGCAGCCATTTCAACCCTCAGCTTTTGCATTTCAGTCTGCAAGCAAATTGTGTGAGATCCTTTTAGTCGTTATTCCTTATGTGATTGCTTTCTCCATTAAAATGGTCATATTGGAATAATATGATGCATTAATAATTTCAAAATTCTAAATTAAACTAAAAGGAAGTTTAATCTTGCCTCCATTAAAGCAAGCTTGTTTTCTGCCTCTCTCTGACCTTGGCGAGCACGCTCCACATCTTCTTGCCATGCCTGCACCTTTAAGTAAACAGAAGCATCACACACTATTTTCCAAGGTGCCATTGAGCTAAATAGATACAAATTTACATGTATGTTTGCTAGAAAAGTAGTATAGGCAAAAAGAGAAATGTTTGAAGTAAATGATGTTAATATTGGGGAAGCATTATATAATAATAGATGGGGAAACATAAATGCCTAAAAAATATGAAATGAATTTCCAAGAGAACACCAACTCTAGAAAATCAGAAGCCAGAAATTAGTATAGGAAACTAGTGATTTCTCTTTCCATGAAAAATGCAAGGGTATTGTTTATTAAGAGAGTTTTAGTCAATCATAAACTCTGAATAGGTTTTCAATGCCAAAGTGTGGTTTGCCTTTAAAAATAATAATGGTGTAAGTGATTACAGAATGCACATTCATTTTGGATACTTTAAAAGGCACCAGAAGCCTATGCAAGAAAAAACAAAAAGGAAAAATCAAAGTTACCACTTTGTGATAGATATAGTGTACACTGTACAGATTGTTGTAGGGTAAGAATAAAAATTGGAGTTAAAAAATAAGGGAGATTTTCTAGGATAACACTTAGGTTTGAGGCAATTCTCACAATGACCCTGTCACATGCACTTTTGATGCAACCATGAGTTCATTTGTAGCAATACCTCAAACCTAATCCTATGACACTTCCCAATAATTAAGATTATTTTTCGTCCTACATAAAGTTAATTCTGCTCAGCTAAAGACCTGAATTGATAAGTTGGCATCTTCTAGAGGTTTCTTCTGTCCACGACGAATACGGGCTTCCATATCTTGCAGTTCTTGATTTAAGGTGGCACACTCGACCTGATGATGGATGAATATTATACTATCACAAATGTATATCAATTACAAAAGTTAGGAAAACTAAGAAAGAAAGAGTAAACAACATTAATTAAACATAGTATAATCCCTGAGAACCATCATCTGTTGAAGAAATTTCCCTAAATAGAAGTCAAACTTAGCCAAAATACCAAAATATGAGTGACATAGTTTCATTCTATAAATAGGAGTGTGATGATAGTATGGTGACAGTGTGATAACCGTGCGAATAGAAAAATAAAGAAAAACAATAAAAAGACCACAAGTAGACTGCCAGTCGACAGTGGTCAATGGTGGTCAACGATGCCGCCGGTGTTCCGGCGACCTCACGGAGACGGAGAATTGTAGAAGGTAGTGTCGCGTCGGCATATGGCAGTTTGACGGTGGTCGGCAATGGCAGTGTGGACTCCTATTTAAGTCTTAAAAGACCAGCACTCTTATTTTGGTATTTTCATACTTTTTTACTCCTATTTAGGGAGTTTTCCCTAATTAAACATGGTACAAACCCTGAGAACCATCATATATATGTTTTTAATTGAAGCACTGGTAGTAATTGATTAAGCAGTAATAGTAATACAACAACAACAACAACGGACCCAGTAAAATCCCACATAGTGGAGTTTGGAGAGGGTGTATGTACCACACACACATTACCCGTATTCAAAAAGTAGAGAGGCGGTTTCCACAAGACCCACAGCTCAAAACATAGGATCACAACGACAAAGGAAGTAACATGAACAATAGAATAGAAGGTGTTTCTTCTTATCGGGTCATTCTTAAACATTTTAGGAAGGAAGAAAGATATTTTAAACAAAATAAAGAGCTTTGAGTGAATAGATGTTTCAAATAAGGTAAAACAAATTTAATAAACGCGTAAAAGATAGAATTTTTCAAGGATGTTTCTGCTTTCAATAAAAAGACAACCTGTAAGGCATATGTGAGAGTTAGATTGAAAACTACTTTTATCTCTTATGGGAGTGAACATGTGAGCATATCACCATACCTCAAGCAGTGCTACTTTTTGCTCAAGTTCTGCTGCCTTTGCCATCTTTTCATCTGCTGTTCTCTAAAGATAAACAACAAAAGGTATTATATATTTTGACTGATAAAGTTTAACTTTTCGATACAGCTATCAGGGAGTACGATTAGGGGAAACTCAGATAAAACTAACAACTACAAACTCAAAAAGGCTATGCATATTTGAAAACTTGTTGCTTTTTATTTGGAGAGCTTGGTGGGGTGTGTGGATGGGCAAACTGAGAAAACTTCATGAAAATAAATATTGAACAAAGTCAAACCAGTGATGGGAGCACAAAAGAAAGTATTTGTCAACTTGAAAGGACAGAGTGGATCCAATCCCATTAACACAATACACAAATAAACTGGCCACAAACGCCACTAAATGCTCAAACATGCTCCCTCCCTAACCATAGGTAAACTGACAGTCTGGATCATTTTTTCCAAGAACTTTCAGGGGATCCAAAGTTAAAGAAGCAGTGTATGTGGTGTGTGTAAAACATTATGACTAGTGCAGCAAAGACCTCCAATCAAAATCTACTAGAAGATCAAACTTGAGAATTTAATCTCAGCACTCAGCGAAGTGTCTGTTTAAACATCTGAAGAGTACCTGGGCCCTGGCCAATGCAGTGGAGGCCTCAAGAGCACGGTGTTCAAGTTCAACTTCCCTTTCCATAGCAGCCTGATACAGAATTAACAAATAACTAAAATAAGAGACCATCCATTTCAGATCCAGCACTACCAATGTGATAGGGTAGTTGAGGACCATGAAGGGTCTGGAAAATGAAGGTGAATGTTCAAAAAAAACACTATTAGGTGCCGAAGAACCCATTTCAAAGGATTTGTGTTTTTAGTCCGGCAAACTGAGAAAACATAAACTCCAAACACCAGATAAAAATATTTATTAAAAAAATAATAGCAATCACTTTAAGACAGGTCAAAGACTCCGGGTTCTAACCATCTTAGTAGCATTATGTGCTGCATGCTCCTCTTCAGCTCTTCGTTCTGCAACAGCCAACTCCTCCCTTATAGCCTAACAAATTATTATTATTTTCGCAATTAGAGTAAGTTCTAAAAAACTACTGACCCCAACATAGTTGAGATTAAGGCCTTAAGGTGATAATGATGATGAGAGTTAGAAGTTTGAGAGCTTGGAAGAAGTGAATTGGCACTACAGTATAGAGAGACCAGCTTACTTGCATCATCCTAGTCTCTGTCAATTCCCTATTTCTCCTAAGAGCCTCCATATTTGCCTGGCAAGGTAGAAATCAGCATGTCAAAGAGAGAAAACTGTTAGGACTATACATCTCAGAGCAAAAAAAAATAGTATCTAGCCAGTTATTACAAATACAACAACAACCCAGTAGAATCCCACAAAAGCAGGGTAACTAGTCTGTCGTTCAGTTCATTATTTAACTTATCAAAAATGAGAGGAAATCAACCTGCAAAGATGCAAGATTACCCTCTGATAAAGCAGCTTGCTTCTTTAATGCATCCATAGAACTAGCAAGGGCTTCAATTTCAGAATTCTTAGCAGAAAGTGCCGCCGTCATACTAGACTCCACTTTTGACACCTCATTTTTTGCTGCAGATAAATCCTTCTGAAGCTGCTTCAGGCGAGCCTCATACGATTTACTCAACTCCCTCTGTTATAATAGAATGCTGTCAAACTTAATAGAATAGAACGTATACCGCTTGACGCAAGTCAAATTAATACCGAGGTACTGCCCTCTGCACTCAAGTGATGTTAAAACTTTACCTCGGCAAAAAGAAGCTCTTCTAACTGAGCATTTTCAGATTTGTACTCCTGAAGGCGTGATGAAAGCCCAGCACATACCTGATTATAATTAACATGATGAATTTCAGTAAGGGCTAAAATGCACTTTTCTGTGAATGGAACTCATGAATTTCATAACATATTAATAGGATCACACCCCATGAGAAAGGTGAGAAAGATTCAGCACCATTCATATTGTAATACATTTCTTTAGTACATAGTATTAAGGGCTGTTTGGCAACTTCTGAATGGGTAAGTGCTGAATCAGTAAGAGGTCTGAACCATTAAGTGCTGAACCAGTAAGAGGTCTGAACCATTAAGAGCTAGTATATTGCTTAACTATTCAGAGGCAAATGTCTGATCAATTCAGATAAGAGATATTAACCATTCAGACTCTGTATAATACTTAACCATTCAGAGGCAAATCTCTTAACCATTCAGACTTCTGAACCATTAAGAGGCTGAAACAAACAGTCTGAACCATTAAGTGCTGAATCATTCAGACATCTGAATCATTAAGAGGCTGAAACAAACAGCCCCTTAGTTTATAATCATTCACAACAGTTTTTCTTTCTGCTCTGAAATGATAAAGCAAACTTAATTCAGTTGTACAATATTGTCATTCTTAGATACTAACTACTAAGCAACAATTTAGTTGCTCTATAATCAACAAGTCAACAACCAATATAGGTCCTAAGAATGGGGTTTGGGAAGGGCAGGTGTACATAGGCCCTACCCTACCTATAAAAGTGGAGAGGTTTATGAAAGACCTTTGGCTCAAAAAAAACTTAAAAAGGTAGGTTAGAACAAAAAAATAAAGATGAACAGTAAGGTAAAAGATTGTGATATACGTAGTATTCATTTGCATTTTAAATCATCTGAAGTTTCTATTTTCTCCAAAAAAAAATACAGTATTAACATATCCGTGCAAATGAGTAAGTAGTACTCCCTCCATCCTGAAATAAGGTTCCACAACTGAACGGGCACGGTCACTAAGATAGGTGAAGTTCTGTGGTTGAGTTTTGTATAGAGAAGAGAAGTTGTAAGAGTCACACATTTCATTCTTCAAAATGAAAGTCGAACCTTTTTCGGGACAAACAAAAAAAGAAATGTGGAAAAAAATTATGTAATACTGTTGCATGATGAAATACCCGAGCCAAACGTGCCTCCTTTGACTGACCAGTAGAACTTGTATTTTTAAGCAAGCCTTGAGCCTGAACAAATACAGAAATATTTTTAAAATGTCCACGTGACAAAGAAAAAAAACACCCACAGCTAATATTATTGTATCCTTTACCTCGTTGAGTTGGTCTTCCACCTTACTGGAAGTGGTATTACTTTTTTGAACTGGAAGCTTGTTTAGGTCTGACCCTTTTTCAGCCAAGGTACTACTATCCTCCATCCGTTTATCATCTTTAACAAGATAATCTCCACTTACAGATTGATGTCCTCCATGCTCATTGTTCTCAGGTGATTCTGCATCATCAAGGACAGTGGAGTGGCTTGGCTCAGCTGGTCCAACATTGTATAAGGTATTATCATTGACGACACTAGAAGCATTTTGTGGAAGAGTGCCTTCATGAACTTCTAATATATTTTCACGTGTATGATTATGATTTGATCTCAAGGGTATATGTTTTACATCACTTCCACCTGCTTCTGCTTCCATGTTATAAACACTACTCGTAGCATTATTGGAGATCGTTTCAAATACAGGAGCATCCAATGAAGCATCATATGTATCCACATCTTGGTTCTCTTTATTGGTAGCTTTGTCACTAACACTGTCTGGAAGTGTCTGACTATTTTCAACAAGCAGAATGGCATTATCTCTATCTTTATCCATATCTGACTCTGGCATTTCTTTGTAAGTTTGTATTCTTTCATTATCAAGTGTATCAGATGTTTCATGGGAGGAAACTCGCTTTTGAGGCTGCACACAGAATCTTATTATCAGCCTTATCATGGAGACATAAAATGTTGATATATTGACTGAAAGAGCAGTAAAATGTAACATAACACTGAAATGACTGATAACTACCTTCTTTTTTGGCCTTGATCTCTTTGGTTGAGATCCTTGTCCATTGGGAGCTACGTAGTTGGACCATAAAAAGAAATGAATAGAAGAATCAGTCAAAGACAAAAAAGAATTAGCAATGCAGTACACACACCCTAGGCTGCTACTGCGGAGATTTTTTTCTATGAATTAAGTATTTATTCTTTACATATGGCAAGATGACAAGATCTAGTCCTTATTGTGTGGGCTCGGATAACATTAATGAACTCATTGATTATCATTATCAACACCTTAATCCCAACTAGTTCGGGTGCATTAAATTTAGTCAATAAACTAATTAACACTATAGAACAGCAACAACAACAAGGTCCCACAAGTGGAGTGTGGAGATGATGGAAGCTTGTGTAATGAGATATAGATTATAGAATGTGAAAAACAATCATTTATTCAACAATAATAACTTATATTGACTTCTATAATAATTCAGTTCTTGAACCCAAATGCTTGGCAAATTTTCACTTAGGTCGAAACTATGTCCATTTCTTCGTATGATCAGGAATTCATATAGTTTACTCGTTATTAGCATTTTTTTCAACAAAAAAACTTAATCATTTAAAATTTCCAGTCATTTAATTAAAATTATGATTTTCATGATTTAAAATTTATAACATGTAATCCTAGTAGGACGGTATTTGGACTAAAACCAATTTATTATGTAAATGACTAGTAATTTTTCCAATACATATCATAATTCATGAAGTGCTGTAAGATTAACATTGCAAAAGTCCAGATATGCCCGAAAAGACTATTTAGTCATCTCTATATGAGTTCCAAATTTCCAATGTAGAAATGTAAAATTCCTCTTAGAAGCAGCACTAATCAACATAGTTTGTAAGGCGGCAAGGCTAGGCGATGCGCCAATGTACCTTCATATCGCCTAGGCGATGACTATTACATACATACATACATACATACATACATACATACATACATACATACATACATACATACATACATACATACATACATACATACATACATACATACATACATACATACATACATACATACATACATACATACATAC